TCCCGCGGCACCGTCCTCCACCACGGCTCACTCGCCTCCCTCGATGCTGCCCTCCTCTCACACGGCTTCGCCGTCCCCGCGCAGCTCAACCCGCTAGAGTACGCCCTCGAGGTCATCCACCAGATACCCCATCCCTCGCCCTCCTCCCCTGAACCCAAGTCGGCGCAAGATCTCACAACCAAGGCATCGTATTCGGACCGCCACAGGCTGGCCTTGTCGTGTACTTCGCCGTGCTCACGGATCAGGGTGGACGGCACGAGCGGTCTTTTGGACCGGCTCGTGGCCCGCTCGGTCCGGGCTGGCTCGGTCCTGGCCCGACAAAAAAATCGGCCGGTCCGGTCCCTCAAAACAAGACCGTAAATCGGCCGGTCCGGTCCGGTTAAAGCTCGGGCCGACCGAGCAGACCGAAGAAGCAGCCGGCGGCATGGCGGGGCCATGGCCAGAGCGGGGCGGGGGCGTGGCCGGGGGCTTGCCGGGGGCATGGTGGGGGCTTGGCGGGGGCTTGGCGAGTGTGTGGCGGCCAAGGCGTGACAGGGCCACGCACCTGTGCCGCGGCCGCCGCCATCCAACGCACAAGCAGAGCACCACCGCATAACACCATGGCCACCAGCCTTCCGGCGACGAACCATCATGTCTAGGAGTTCCTCCATCGTGAGATCTATCATATCCGTCAAAAAAATCGATGAGGGAGGTCCTACATAGCCGCATCAGCCACCGTTCCTTTCATCTCTGTCCACCGGCCGTCGTTTCAGATTGGTCGCCGTTGAGCTCCCTCCGGTGTTCTTCTTGGTCACATAGCTTCCTCTGATGCTTCTCAAGCTCCCAGACATCGTTTCGCTGAGCTGCGCTTCCTCTAGCAAGATATCTCTCCGATGAGCCGTCACTGGAGCTCCAGAGCGCGCTCTGCCCATGTCTTGGCCGGTCCTCACGGTCCTCTCGGTCCGGCCCGAGCTCGGCCATTGCCGGTCCGGTCCCTGAAAACAGGACCGCGACGTAGCTCGGTCCGGTCCGGACCGGACCGCCGCCGGCCGGTCCACACGCCGGCTCGGACAGGGACCGGACCGGCTCGGACCGTGTCCACCCTGACTCACGGATACATGAGTTCGTGGTTCTGTACAAGAGGGCGTGGAAGGTGGTGTATCGCAGCAAGCAGCTGCTATTGACCAACTTCCTCGAGGCTGTGATCGTCGGGACGCTGCTGGGCACCATCTACATCAACGCCGGCTATGGCAAGGCCGGCGCACACAAGCGACTGGGGCTCTTCGCCTTCACGCTGACGTTCCTGCTCACCTCCACCACGGAGACGCTGCCAACGTTCGTCACGGAGCGAATAAATTGCTCAAAGCCATCATGTTTGTGCTAGGGTACTTCAAAACTACCACTTTTGCCAAAAATCATAAAAGCCACCACTTCTGTGGTAAGTGAGTCACAAAACGCACTGATTCGAAACTCAGCAACGCTTGATAATAAAACTGACAGGGTTGGCCCATCTGTCAGGCTGACTTGGCATGCACATATGTACAATAAAGTGAGGTGGAAGGGGGGCCCACCTGTCATACTCCCATCTCTCCCCCGTTGACTCCGGCCCTGCCCCGACTCTTGGTGCCCGGCGAGGTAGGCATGCGATGGCGAGCAGCGCCGCTTCAGCTCCGGCAAGCGCGCCTCCCATCGAGGCGAATGGCACCCACGTGCGCACGAAGCTGGCGGTCTCGGCAAGCGCGTCGAAGGTGAGGAGCGCGCCGCCGTCGTCACATAGGTAGCAGGCGAGCTTCTCGACCGGGTAGTCGGCGGCGAGGATGGAGAGGATGGTGTTCGCGGTGACAAGCGGCGGCTCCTTCTCCGGGTTAGCGGTGGAGACCAAAACGTCAATGCCGGGGAGCGGCCCTTGGGGTTGCGTGCAGTGGGCAACTCGAAGCGGTCGGCGGCGGCTCCTTCTTCTCCATGCATGCGATCACACACACTCGTATACGTACTAGGTAGTGTAGTAAAGGGAGGAGAAGAAATTCGTGGATTGATCAATGGTCACCTCTTGGCTCTGGACGCTCTCCGGCTGAGCACGACCCAGTAGAGCACCCGGTAGAGGAGGAAAAATCCAAACAGCACCTGCACTCCCGTCCACCGCTCCTCCGCCGTGAGGCCCCTCGCCGCCAGCACGTCGCGCCCCATCTCCGAGCACTCCTCTCCGGCGCCGGCCACCCCGAAGGACCGGACCGAGCAGCGTCGCGGTCCTGTTTTCAGGGACAGGACCGCAGCGACGAAAGCCCGAGCCGGACCGAGCGGCTCGTTTGGACCGGCCGGTGGTCACCACAGAGCTCGCGCCGGAGCACGGCGACGCGGGGACGGCGCTGGAGGCAGAGGGGCTCGTCGTGGAGGTGTCCGGCGACTTCTTTGACTCACGGTGGACGGCACGGCGGCCAGGCAGAGCTCGGAAAGCAACAGCCATGAAGAATCTGGCACGACGGCCGGTGCACGACGGCCAGTGTGCAGCGGCGGTGTAGGGCCTCCCGCTTCAATTTCTACCTTCCAGGTGATAGATCCGGGCGTGACGCATCCAGTAGACATGCTTGCCAGCGTCAGGGAGGCCGGTGGCCGCACGGATGAACGACGGCGGCGCTGACCAGTGCACGACCGACGCGCCCGCCACGCAGCTCCGGCCACGTGCTCGCCACGCGCCTGCCACGACGTCGACACGCCCCCGCCACGCCCCCGTCTCGTCCCGACATGCCCCTGCCATGCTCCCGCCGTGCCACAGCTCGTGTTCGCCGGTCCGCTCGGTCGGACCGAGCTTTAACCGGACGGACCGAGGGATTTTCGGTCCCGTTTGCAGGGCCCGGACCGGCTGGATTTCATGCCGGGCCAGGACCGAGCCTGGCCGGACCGAGCGGGCCACGAGCCGGTCCTAAAGACCGCTCGTGCCGTCCACCCTGAGCGACATGGTCACGGTCAACGGCAAGCCCGCCGGCAACGACAGCCGCCGCGACATCCCTCCACCGGTTCACCCCGCCTCCTCTAAATCAGCTCAAAACTCCAGACGATCAAAGAACCAGCAGCAAGCAGGGCGATCAGCAGCTCTAACTGATTCCTCGCGCTCAAAGAAGAGAAAAGAAGTGTAGTCATGGCGTTTTTGCCAAAAAAAACCCGATCGAGTAGTATTCACCCTAGGATCGGCTAAGTGGCGGTCAAAGCGGGCTGGCGGCCACTGACTCGGCCAAGTCAGCAAATACGTATACGAAATCATATAAATGAACCAAAATGAATCCTTGCGCAAGTACTTGGACCGTAGTTTGGGTATTTTGAAGTAGTTGTAAAAATCTGTCACCCGGCTCAAGTTTGATGATCTACGGTGAATTTTTCTCGGTCACATAAACCTGACTGTGTAGGTACTGCACCGTCGAATCAGATGCCAATCGTCGTGCACGAGAGCGTGTGGCGCTGTTGAGGTCATGGGCGATCAGGGCACAGCTCTACTGTTTACGCCCGTACCTTAGTGCATCCATGGTCATTGAATGCTATTGCTGTCTGATGGTAGCACCACGTTACCGTGCTGTACCTGGATGGTTACAAGTCTCGCTGGACTTCTCGACGTGGATGCACATATGAACGGCGTACGTGCAGTCGTGCATCCTTGGATTTAAAATATTTTTTCGGAGTGTGACACACACTTACGGCGCAGAAAATCAAATAGCATTTCAGCTTATAATTTGAGAGGGGGAGGCAGATAGGCACCGGGGAATAACAAGGTCGCTGTCCAGAACGAAAAGACGATGCATGTCTTGTTGTGCGCGCGTGCCCTATCGCTCATGGCATCGCCGGGCGGTCGCGGTCGACGTACCATTTCCAGATAGACGACGCCACGTGCCTGCAGATGGTCGTCCGGCCGTCAAGAATTTCTGTGCACCTGGGTTAACGGCGTCACGGGCCAAGCCGCCCAGAGTAGCATGGCAGGCACATGTATGACCGGCCGTGTTAATCAATCCGCTGCCGCGCGCCTTTCCGTGGAGGCATGCATACGAACGTAGATGCCATCGCCAATGTATATCGTTTCGGTGATAGACATGTTCCTATTCTGGAATTGTGCCATCCACCTCTGATCTTCGTTATAAGAAAAGGGCAATGCCAGCAAGCCTTTTTTCACCGCTATCCTACCCTGTCACTCATTTCCTGGACGAGCACGGTTCGCTTCGGTTCGCTACTCATTCCCTGGACGAGCACGGTTCACTTCCGTTCGCTTAAGGATGACGTGGCCGTAACATCCGTGTCCCGCTACATGATCACCGAGTCCGTCCTCACCTCCGAGCCCGTCCAGATGCAACCAGTGCTAAGCCAGCTTTGGTGTAGCTCCATTTACACAATCCTCTCCACACGTTGATCCACTTTCGTGCACACCGCCACAGCAAGGTAGATCGTAGTGCCGGAGTTCAAGCGAGATTTGTGTGCTTAAACATGTGTGCATATTGTTTTAGTAGCAGTAAAATGTGATGTTGCTTGTATGTAATCTTAATGTCTCACGTGTTTTTGTTTAAGTCGTTTTGTTGCTTCATTCTTTGGGTGTTCGGTGTCACCTTATTTCCCCTTATGTGCTCCCATAGCCGTGAATATCTAGTAAATGTTCCTAGACAGTTATAGTGATTAACCTCTTTATGTAATGTCTATACGTATGTTCATTTCTGTAGAGTCGAGATCTGGTGTACCCATTTTTTGTCCTGATTTCTATGTTTTCTAGATGGATTTCTTTGTTTCTTCATCATGTAAGATCAGCGAGGACATTCCTTCGCATATTGGAAGCCTATTTTTTTTTCTATTTCTATGTCTGTTAAAATCCTATGAATCAATGAGAACCAGTTATCATACCAATGCAAACAACAAGTGACGAGGCTATGCCCAATTTTTTTCAATACACACAAAAAAGGTCAAATACACAGCAAATACCATTCATCTGACATCATTCTTTGCTTTATTTAATTAGTTCTCCATTATGAAAATGGTCTTACACTTAAGGCCTAGGTACTTGCCGCGGGTGGAGGTGGTAGCTTTATTTCCGGAACACGATAACCTGCAAAATTTCATTCTTCACATCATAATGATGAACATGAGAAATTATATGAAGTGTAAATATATATATTTGTGTGTGTTTGTGTGTTTGTGTGTGCACGCGCAAATATGACAATATACCAACCTGCACAGTGAGTGTCTGTGTGCAACCCATTGCCGCATACATGTGTAGCCATGGCAAACTTGGCTAGACTGAGCAAAGTCAGTTCGTGAGCGGTGAACCGATCACAGACGCAGTGGATGTCTTTTGCATCTCTTATTGTATTGCAACATGCGCTATGGAGTGGCGGGTACTGGTCACCAAGTTTCTTTTCGATGTGATGCCAACAGTCTCGCATCACCTTTTTTTTATCAAGGAGGCAGTGATCTATATTGTTGGCTTCTCGTGCATGGAGCGAACAAGAAGAAAGAGCCACAATGACTAGGAAGCATAACACTCCAGCTACTTTTGTGTTGTTCATGTTCTATGTTGTGTAGCACTATTGGTATGTGTTTATGCAGGACTTCTATGCCACTCAGTCTCTATATATAGTGGTCATAGTGAAGTTTTTAGACTCCATTCGCTCATCAATCGCTTAATTGGACTCTTTTAACTAGGTGAGAGATATATGACTTAGATATGTTATAATTTAATGTTTGCACATCTAGATCTTGTATAAAGTTGTTGGCAATGGATGTGGATGCAAGCCATTAATTATTGGCAATGGAGTAGTTGATTTGGAACTCTTAACAGATATGTGTACATAACTTGGGTATGTTGATAATTAATGTAGGGACATGTGTGGTCCTTGTAGATTCACATCGATGGTAAAGGATACTTCTAATTAAATATAGCTAGGTGCATCCATTTCTTGTATCAAATTGATGGTAGCGGATATGTAGATCAGCCTATTTATTTGTCTGTCTATCTATATCTCTATCTCTATCACTATCTATCTCCATCACTCTCTCTCTATCTATCTATCTCTATCTCCATCTATCCATCTATCTATCTATCTATCTATCTATGTATGTATGTATGTATGTATGTATGTATGTATCTATCTATCTATCTATATCTATATCTATATCTATATCTTTATCTATATCTATATCTATATCTATATCTATATCTATCTCTATCTCTATCTATCTATCTATCTATCTATCTATGTCTATATCTATCTGATACTAATAACGGACTCCCAACATATTAAAACTTCAATCAGTGAAAACAAGAAATAGAAACCACTGATTTTAGCGGGCCTGAATTACTACGATTACGATCTATTAATAAATCCCTTGGATATTTCAATTGAAAAATGGAACTTGGATCTCTCAATCAGGGAAAAAAGTAAAAGATATGATGCAATCTAAACAACCGTTCAGATTTGACACGGTAGCTGAGACGTCATGCAATTGTCAAAATCATGACTGTGTTTCTTTGTGACTAACCTAGATACGATCTGATTCGTATATCTCCAGCCAATTTGAAGTCCATCGATTATTCCATTGCCATCTCATGGCCTTGGCTTGGAGGAACTATGCCACATGGTAAAGCAGTCCCGATATAATCTCTCTGACCTTCTCAGCATTCGTCATGCCTGTTCCTAGCCATGGATATCTGCTGGCACCAACCAGCACACAAACTATAAGTAGAAAAAGACGATCGAGGGTTATGATTATAGGGATTTAGACATAGTTTTCTTATCTTTTAGATCCGATGAGGATGTTGTTACAGTGATGGAACATACATCTGGCTACCTATATGCTCAACACAGGGTGGTGCATATTTGATTCCATCAATAATTTAACGCACTAACCGACATGGAATCTTTCTTTGTCTTTTGTTATTTTTTACATCCTCCGCTAGTTCTTGCAATCTTCTAAATAAGTCACGTTTAGTTGGTCACTGTTTGTTCATAGAGTTCTTTCATGATCAGTAGAAAGTTTATGTGTGTTGACATTGGGATTGGCGGCCCACAATAAGGATATGAATATGTTGCATTAGACTTCTCTCCTTGCCATCGATCCTCATATTTGTTCCTTGGGGTGATCTTGGTTTCTTTGCATGATTTGGCTGATAAGCATTCTTGTCTTCACTCCACTTTTGATATTTATCCAATAGTTCAGCGAAGATGATTTTTAATCTCTTACACTTGCGCTTATTTTGGCCTTTGTTTTCTTTTTGTTTGCTTTCATCAATCATTGGAGTTTCTTGTTGCCCCACAGTCCTTAGCATCTTCATTGTAACTTCGATAGAATTTTCACCCTCAAGAATATTATCATTGTGCTCTTAAAAGATTTTCCTACCTGAAAGCTTAATCCCATTTTCTGCAGTTTTTCCTTCTCATGTTTAAATAGACCACCATGAAGCAGCCGATGCAAAAACTGTTTACCATCAGAACCAATCGGAATAGACTGGTCATCTCTTGGTGTCTCAACAAATTTGAACCGTCCTTATCAATGTCCGATTTAACTATTTGACGAAACATATTGCAATCCTCATAATTATGTTTCAACGAATGATGCAATCTAAATCACATTCATCCTTGGTTTGATGACTTGACATGGTGATCAAGAATTCCAATGTAATTATTTTTCAGCAACAACTCAAATATTTGATCACACATGCTTGAATTGAAGGTAGACCTTTTATTTTCTAGACGATCTTGTTGTGAGAATGACTTTAGAGGTAAGCACACGAATGGTTTAGATTTGGAATCTCCCCATTCGGCTATGAATTTTCCTTTGCATTATTTTTCTGGTGTCATTGGATAACATATTATACTAGCATCGGTTTTCTCAAAAGAATCTAAACTTGACATTATGTTTCTGAAACAAAAATAGTTAGAACACACATGTCTCAATTGAGACGAAAAGCATGCCAAGTAAGAAATAAGGAAAGCTACCCAACTAGATATGAACTTTAGATAAAGCAATGGGGAAAGCCTTGGTTGTAACAATAAGTCACTCTCGGTCTTTATAAATGGCGCAATGGGTTGACCAATATGCTCTATAAGTTGTCAGCAGGTTAGATTTTGTTAAATACCATCCTCTCTACAGTGGTACGTGAAGATCATCTTGTAGATTCGGACGTGGTCTAAGTGTTCAATAAATACTTTGGAGTATTCGGAGATGGAACCCGCCTTGCAATGCCGAAAAAAACTGCGCGTCGGACTCGTCGTCATTGAAGCCTGGTTCAGGGGCTACCGAGGGAGTCCTGGATTAGGGGGTATCCGGACAGCCGGACTATATACTTTGTCCGGACTGTTGAGGCATGAAGATACAAGACTCAAGACTCTGTTCCGTGTCCGGATGGGACTCTCCTTTGCATGGAAGACAAGCTGGGCGATCCGGATATTATATTTCCTTCCTTGTAACCGACTCCACGTAAACCCTAGCCCTCTCTGGTGTCTATATAAACCGGAGAGGTTGCTCCTTAAAGGGACCATCACGATCATAATCATCATAGGCTACCTTCTAGGGTTTAGCCTCTATGATCTCGTGGCAGATCAACTCTTGTACTACTCATATCATCGATATCAATCAAGCAGGAAGTAGGGTTTTACCTCCATCGAGAGGGCCCGAACCTCGGTAAACATTGTGTTACTTGCCTCCTATTACCATTAGCCTAAGACGCACAGATCGGGACCCCCTACCCGAGATCCGCCGGTTTTGACAACGAAACCCCCCCAACAACACTCACTGTTCATCACGGGAAGGAGGCAGCAGGGTTCGGTCGGCTTCAGTTAGCAGTTGTAGCGAAGGAATCACTCGGGTTCAGTTAACTGTAAGGGATCGATCGCTCGGGTTCAGTAACGTAGCTAGTACGATTGCTCGAGTTCAGTTAGAGCCGAACGCCTTGCTCGGGTTCAGCTAGAGCCCAGTGCCTCGCACACACACGCGTACGTGTACGAGAGAAACGCGCATCGCTCGGCCCCCGACCACCCACCGTAACCGGGAACTCCCCGAAATTTTCCTCGCCCTCGCTTCTACCATAGTTTTTTCCGTCATGGACGGCCCAGCTGCGTCTCTGGCCCGCCCAGGATGAAAAGCCCATTTTCTGTCATGATTTTTTGTCATAGAAGTAGGAGCCCACCACATCTATGATGATACTATGTTTTTTCACAATTATCGTCATAGAAGTGCCATAAGCATGAAAAAAAATTGTTCGGCCTAAAATATCACGGATGTGTCTTTTTTTTGTAGTGAAAGTTTGGTACATTCTCAGTTTGATCTGCTTATCATAGGGAATGGGAGCATAAATTTGGACAACGTATGCATGCGGAGGATGGCCAAGGTCGAGCCAATCCTATCCCCATTTGGGATGACATCTAGAAACTTAAGGTGTCGGCTAGTATAACATGGGATCCTTCCCTGTAAAGGTGTACTGGCAAAAAGACATGTTTTAACACAAGCACAATGTCCGGTCTGCTTGAGGGGACCTGATAATATCCAACACTGTCTTTTCAGCTGTAAGAGGGTTTAATTTATTTGGTAACAGTTGGATCTAACAGAGACGATCAGGAAGTCCATATGTCCAGACCGATCATGTTTTTTAAACTTGAATCAAATTACAGATGAGAACTTAGGGAAGAGTATTGGAGGTCTACATATACCCGAGCTTGTGATCGCGGCATCTTGGTACCTTTGGTGGCAATGTCGACAGCTAATAAAGAGTGCATCAGTACTGCCAGCAGATAGAACAACAACATCCATCAGAGCAATTGCCACAAATTTCTGGAGAGCAATTGAAAAGAAGGACGAAAGGAAGAAGGAACCGAAAAAGTGGTGCAAACCATTGCATGGCTTTATGAAAATTAATGTAGATGCTTTATTCCACGTAAAAGACCGATCAGGAGCAAGTGAGGCAGTCATCAAACATGAATTGGGTTATTTTGTAGTTGTTGCATCATGTTCGTTCCACATGTTTCTGATGCGGCCTCTCGGGAACGGTATTAATTTGGCAGCTCATGCGGGATGCTTGAGGATAGAAGCTAAGTCAGATTGCGAACTTGTGATTGATGCAGTAAAAGATACTTATAGATTCAATGGTTCCCAAGCAGCTACAATTATTGAATGCATTCAATTCTCTTGTGACTTCGGACAGGTGAAATTTTCTTCACGCAACCGAGAAGCAAACAGTGTAGCAGATGCTTTGGCTAAATAAATATGCTGAAGAATTCTTCTATTTGGCAAGATGACCCGCCTGATTTCAATTCTTCTTGATTGTAAATGCCATTGCTATTGTCCGAGAAACAAAATCTTTACCCTGTCAAAAAAAATATTATTTCTCCCCAATTATTTGCTCATCATTGGAATTGTTCTCAAAGTTGATAAATCTACCCCATGCAAAAAACAAAAATATTGATCCGTGTGCACCTTCAATTAGTAATTTGGACCAAAGTGTCTAGTGTGAACTAAAGTGCCTCTTTCTAGATGCTTAAGAAATGACACTTCAGAATATGACCGACCGTTT